AAATATTGGCTATTCTAAAGAGAAATCATAACTATATAAAATACCTTGATTAGGTTCATGGACCACTTTAATCATACAAGTTTCACAAGCTACTCTTGTCTACTAACATTAACTAAAGCATTTAAAAGAAATTACACCATAATATTCTATGTACGATTACAACACATTAAACCTTAAAATTATACCTTTTTCCATCCACAGTGGATGATTAAACATATTATGCTTCACAATTCTGCCTTGGTTTAAATTAAAATAATAATGAATTGTACTTTTTCTCAATTTACTTTGGTTTTGTTCATATTAGGTGTTTTCTGGTCAGTGCAATTCTGTTGTTGTGGTACTGTAATTTTTTTCTGCTGCTGACTTGTTACTGGTTTAGTGCTTCCTCCCTTTTTTTTACTCTTTCCCCCCTTTCCTTTCTTCTTCTTTTGTTTTTCCCAAACTTTCGGCTTCCGTTCTTGGACACACTGTTCAGAGTTTCCAGTTTGGCTTTTGTTGTCCTGTTCAAATCAGTTTTATACATATACAAGGTTTTCAAAAAGGCAGTTTCTACAGTTTCTGTTAAATTTTTATAGAAAACAAATAAATACTCTCAATATATACGTTGACTGATCAAGTTACAAATTATTCAAAACCATCTTCTTGGTAAACCCCATGTCTAAATGGAACATTTTTGCAATTACTTTCTAAGCAAGACAAATTATCTGAATTTGACAGAAATTTCCCACAATTCCAAATAGGTAAATACAATATAATAGAACTTAAAATACAAAATAATTAATTTTCAAACTTGTTTTTGTTTTCTATAATGTAAGTATAATTTAAGAATCTTCATTATCAAAGTTCAGCTCCGATAAATCCTGAAATTATAACAATTACAATAATTCTTTAATATCTTTATTTTATTTTCATTTAATTCCACCATCACAGAAGCAGGTTATAAAGAAAATATTTTCTGTTGATCTATTATAATTAGTAAATTCAGCAAACTATACCAGAATAAATTGTCTACATTGTAAACTAACTTCAAACAGATATCTTTTCCTGAACTGCAATGACAGAAAAACGTTTTTAACTTTAACAACAAGCAGAAAATTTCTTAGTCTAATTGATTACCACAAGAAAAGATTCAAAGATATTTCAGAAAATGGTACCAAAGATACCTCTTCTTCTTCTTGCTGGTCTTCAACATTATTTATGTCACTTTCCTGATTCATGAATTCATCCAAATCATGACGAGTCAAGGACACGGTAACAGTAACAAGGGCTCCAGCCGTAATTGTACCCAAGTCTTCATCATCTAATACTGATCATGGATAAATAAAAAATAATAAAAATTGAAATAGAAAAGATAAAAGATAGGAAATTTCACTCTGAGCTATGTACCTGAATAGTCAAATGGTTATGAGTACAAAAGATTCAGAAAATTAGATTGAAAAGGTTCAAATAATCTATCAATAATGATACATATTGGCTCCCATTACTTATCATCAAAAATTTCAAGAATTTTTTAGTTTTCAAACACCAAAATCACAAAAATATCCTGAAATTTAACAATGTTTACAGCACATAAAACCTCAGATTCAATATTGCAATAGAATGAAATAAATATAAATGCAATATCTTTACAATTACACAGGCCTGCGATGGTTTTACTGTCTTGAAATGTTTACATGTTCTACATTAATTCTTGTACCCTGAATCTGAAAATATCCATTTTTCTTCAGTTTTTCTTCAAATTTTTCACAAAACGTCATATGTACTTTTACATAAGTGAATCATTTTTATTGAAATCAGGTCACATTTTGTTATGCTTAAAATTTTGACAACCACTGACTATATATTTCTTTAGTCCAATTGCAATGCGAGTCTTATCAATCTTTCTAGAACCCACAAGAAACACACCGCTAGTATATAAACGGTTAACAGGCCACATGGCATGTCATTTCTAGATAATATTTGTTTGTGCGTGCACTTGTACATTTTTTTCTTCTTTTTAATATTATTTATTTGTTGCTATGGCAACAAGAGGTTGTGTAAATGACCCAAACATATTCTGTTATATTTGTGGTAAATTTGTTGTAAAGAAACATAGGCATAGCGTATTACGTATACTTTGGAATAAAACTTGGGGACCAAGATAAATCATGGGCTCTGCACAAAGTTTGCACCATTTGTGTCGAAGAGTTGAGACAATGGACTAAAGGTAAGAAAAAGTCTTTACCTTTTGGAATTTCAATAGTCTGGCATAAGCCTACAAAACCACAGAGATGACTGCTATATTTGCTCATGTAATGTACAAGGCTACAACACTTGAAATAAAAAGGAAATTTCTTATCCGAACCTTCAATTTGCTATAAAGACCTATTGCTCATGGACATGATGTACCTGTACCTACTCCACCGGAGACTCTTGATACAGTTTCATCTGATTCTGAATCTGATGTCAATAGAAATGATGAAAGGGATTGTTTTCAACCTGAAATATCTGGAAACGTTTCATCAAAACATCGGGGAAATGGATAGGAGGTGTCGGGGAAGGTGGAACATCAGCATGATGGCTGATTACTGATGGTCATTGAAACGAGATGCTCCAGATGCAATACATAAAAGAAAGACCACAACACGTAGTTTTTGAGACTAAAAGACAGATTTAACAAAAACGAACAGGTTGAATGATCATGCATATTCATTTGACATCAATGTTCTTCCCTTTTTTTCAGAGTGTTTGTATTTTTGTTAACAAACATAATAATAAAAAATGCTCATCATGGTAAACGAAATAATAATTTGATCCAAGCAAGATTTTTTTTTTCTTCCCGATTGTAAAAAGTCCTTACATGATAGCAAAAAAATTAATATTATTTTCAAAATCTGCATAGCTGAATTATAAAAAATTCGTTATCAAAACCAAAAGAACTTTTGTGAAGTTTAAATTTGCAGGCCTGTGTTATTTGTTCTTTAATTCACATTACTTAACCACTTTTGTCTCAATGTCTTTTAATATTTAATAATTTACTTTGGTGGAATGCATAAGGCTAATCAATTTTGTTATCAAAGGAAAATTTGTGGTAATAATGTCTTATCTGGAAAACTATGACCATATTTATGTAATTCATCAGTGTTTCTCCTGCATACATTTACATTTCTCTTCAAGTTCATCTTTTCCTTGTTAAAATTCTGCTCACCTAAATAAGCACGGTATTTCGGCTTTGCACTAGCTGCTGACAAAAGCAACACTTTCGATATGCCACCTACATATCTAACATGTTAAACTATAATTCATTAAGCAACATATGACCACTCAGAAATGTTTTTAATTTCCACCTACTTGTTAATGAAAAAGCCTAATCATGAGACAGCAGAAAACAAAATTTAACTATAACTCACAGATTTTCATACTAGGTATTATTTTCTCATCATCTCATAAAACATCCAATAAACATCTGTCTGTGGTATGATTAAGGTTTTTTAAATACAAAATTTCTGAAGTGCCTAGTAGCTAAAAAGTACTGGGGTCAATTCCAAGTAATATGTAGCAGTGTCTGTTGTCTTACATATAACTTTTATTATCTTTCCTGTGATTCCTGATAGATGTATAATTTAATTATATAGTGACAACACTGGTTCTGAGAGGCATTTCATATAAATATTACCTACTAATATCTAGTATGTTAACATTTTCTGTATTAGGTAAAATTACTTAGAATTTTGAAACAACTCTCACCTTCAGATCTTACATCAACATCAAGCACAGGAAATTTAGTTAAAACATTCATCACATCAGCATACTCATTATCAGACAGCCCTCGTAGAAGAGCCCGCCTCTCATCAGATTTCATCTCTGCTAGTTGAATAATATTGCGAATGTTACGCTGAAAAAATAATCAGAAATATAACCAAGAACTACAAGTATATTTCAAAATTTTCAAACATAAACTTGCTGACCTCAAATTATAGCTGAAAAATCAAATATATTGAGAAAAAATACTCAATGTGATAAGATAACATTGCCATTTACTGAGTAATTCCAACACAACTGTTAGAAAACTAGTGCCAAAAAACTCACAAATTAAGCCTTAAAGAAAAAAAGAGCACTTAGCAACTCCCATAAGGAAAGAATATACAGTAGTGTATCAAACCTGAAAATTCTGTCTGAAACATTTTGAGACTTGATGTGTGTGGATTCAACTTTTGAAGCCACCATGTTAAACAAATAGATTTGACTTGTACCATATTTCTTTTAGGTATTGCAAATTTAATAACCACAGTGACTAAAGTGGTGTTTGGCTCATTGATTGGTTTAACATGTAGAAATTGTATACATTTCATTTTTTAAAACTAATAACATTTATCTTATAGTAAAGACCTGTCAAATAAAGATAATAATAATAATAATAATTCAGTGGACATAAAATTGGAAATAAACTGCAATTTCAATCATTATGTTCTATTTGAATATTTATACTTAATGACAACGTAATACTGTTAGTGTAACATTGCCATTTCTACCTTATATAAGCAGTTTGTGTTTACTGGTAGCTGGTGTGACATTACATTACAATAAGTTTGATAATAATTTTAACAAAATTTTTCTTCACTGCCTCTACGGGTTTCCATAGGAAAAATGTATAATAGCTTTTTAGCTGCACACTGTTGTATGTGTTAAGTTAATTGTAGATATTAATAACACCACTGAGCATAATAAATGAAGCAGACAGTAATGAGTAAGATGTAATGAGTATTTTGGCCACTGTATATTGAAGGAGAAAAAGGTTAGTAATATATGGAGCACACATAACAATGACATCTAAAATTAACATTAAAAAGTGCATGTCATAATCAGATTTTAAATAATAGTTAAACTATCATGAGAGTTAAAAACCAAAGTACTAACCTTTCGTGTTGTAAAATGACGGTTAATAACTTCTTCCGTAATGTGAGGAAGCTGAAGCAAGGAGCGTTTATTGTCCCACATAGCTTGAACAATCATTGGACACAATTTCATGGCATTTTCTACAGTTTCAAGTTTTGGTTTTCTAGGTACTATATAACAATAACAAAAATAGACAGAAGATAATCTTATATTCAATATTTTATAGTAATTCAAGTACAACATTCAAGAACTTGAACTGAATTTTGTTTTGTCCAATCATGACAGATTATTAATACTAAAGCAGAATCACAATATCAATCATTTCACTGATTTAATTGGCATATTAATATAATAAATTGGAAAAAAATAAAATTCACTTGGAAAGAAAGAATATCATGAATTCATTAACAAGATGTTCAACACTCAGCTTCTTGAAAACTAATTACTTCATCAATCAAAATAGTTGCATCTTATATTACTTTAGCAGCTTTGTTAGTATGTCCAACTAACTCCTCCCGCAGTTCTATAGCCATCAGGAGTTAACTTCACAGCAAGATTCAGAGTGTGAGGTACTGTTATCTATATAGCAAAGCCCTCACTACCAAGGGGACTAAAATTCCCCTTGAATCACCCAGGCATGATGGGTGTAAGAGTAGGTTTTCAATCCCGAGCCAAGCTTGAAACAATATTCATAACGCCACTCACATGCTAGCAGTACCAACCCCTTGGGTTAGCTATAGAGGTAACTGGGGCTAATGGAGGAGCTTGATCAGTACACTTGGACCTATGTAAATCAGGACAGGGCCTATGAATCCCACAGCAGAGTGCAGACATTTTATACTAGTAAAAAAGAAATACACACACACACACACAATATATATGTATGTATATAAAACATATATTGTCAAATTTCAAGAATGTTTTTAAGTTCTGTGTAAAATTCAATCACCTGAAGATTACTCATACAATTATTCATCTATTTACAGTAACATTAGCTAAATACACAAAAAACACGTAATAACTAGAAGCATTTCTTCTTGTTCTATAACAAAGTTTTTCTGGCAGACTGAACTTTTTAGCTGGAAAAAATGGTTTGAATGGACAGAGAAATTTTAAACCAGGTTTTGCATGTTTTATACCTAATTCTACCTCCCTCCCCTTTACTAAGAATGATGTATATATCCAAATCTTAACATCATCTATTAGCAATACTCACACGCATAATATGAAACATTTAATTTTATATTAGATTAAAAGAGGACATCACATATTTAAAACCCAAAAATTAATCATAAAATCAGCTGATAAAGTTAAGCTGCCAGAATAAGGTGCTTGACTATTATATAGTACCGCACTTTTAAAAGAGAACAGGAGCATTTCTACCTGGAAATAATACATGTATTAAAAATGAGAAATAGATAAATCTTACTCCACGGAACTATGTTTACGAATACTATACAACCTCAGAACACCATTTATTTTACGATTCTTAATCAAAACTATGATACAAGGTAATTCATGCTGATTTACTCTAGGTTCTTAAGCAAAAAGAACATCTGTATTTTAAGACTTTTACATACAACCACCACATTTAATATTTTTACAACTATACTATTACATCTGTCACTCTATTATAGTTTACATTCCAAATTAAGCCACTTCAATTTATTCTGTTCCTACCGAGTCCTTGCTAGTTTCTGTAGACCTTATACATGTCAACCACAGCAGGAGATGACCAGAAGGATCATGGAGTTTCTTATTAACAGACTGTGACCTTAACCTTCTATCCTGTATTTATCATTTATTTTTATAGCAATTAGACCAACTGCTTTCCAACTGAAAACCTATTATTTATCATTATAACTGCTAATGCTAGCTTTCATAAATAGACTAAATTAACCAATTTATGTTATAACATTAGCTCTATCAAAAAATGTAGTACATACTCTAGTAATGTATTAAAGCAAAGTAACCCTTTCCAGACCGAAAGAGTATCAGTGATATCCCTTGGCTTTTTTCCTTTTCACAATGGAAATATTTAACCAAATTGCATAAAAGTTATAATATACTTACTAAACAGTACTAAGCTTCAGCATAAAAAATAAGATTTATTATTTCAATAATTTTTTATGTTGTGAAGTTTCCTAAATTTTGTTGTGACACACTTTATGAAAAAAACAAAAACAATTCCTGGTGTCTTAAAATTTCAATTTTTCTTATTGTTGATTAGAAACTTTAATTTTATACATCCAGTCAATTTCAACATGACTGACTTTTATTAACATATTTCACAACAAAACTAATAAAGATTTATCAGTGGATTAAACTTTGACCTTTCAAAATGGCATAAGGTAAAGCTAGGTCACAATATTTTTGCTAATAACATTCTTGATTGAAATCAATTTATATCTAATAAATATATTTTCTTTTTGATAAACTATAAGTTCTTTTATTTATGTGCATTGTTTGAATATGGTAAACTTAACAGTAATATTCTATAAATAAGGATATGAATCACCAGAATATTTTGCTGATACTTTTAAAACCAATTTAAGGTTGTCTGATGTCTTGTCATTGAAGAAACATTTAGTAACTTTCAAAGAAATAGAATTTCACACAATAACATTTTCAGAAATGAAACATATGTTCAACAAAACTATAAAAAAACTTCCTACTTCTGTGGGTTTTTTGCAAGTCTTCTAAATTTCCCACAAATTCTACTGTGTTTCTCTACCTGAGCTAGGTCTCATCACTTTTCCACAAAATCATAAATTTCATGTTAAATCACTCTATGTTATGTAAATAGTTTATAACCTGCTCTATTCAACTATATTTAAATTTTGTCTGTAGCTATTTTCAATGCTGAACAATAATTAGTAGTTTTTCTGATCATATGCTGTGATATCATAAAAGGTGGGAAGAGACATAGGCCTACTTATAAATTTAAAGAAAGAGAAGAAAATGGCATGAGAAACAAAAATGAAGGATATTTTCTTAGGAAATATAAAGCTAATATTTGGGACAAACAGACAAAATATAAGAAAATTGAGAAGTACATTGTTTACAGCTTGGAGCTGCAGGTGTGCAAGTTGAAGTTTTTTTCATTTCTTATTTATAAGTACACAAAATAAATATAAAATATTAATTCTAAAATATTTTGGAGTAAAAAATTGTGAAGATAGTTATTATTTTTATTTAAAAGTGTGAAAATTGATATCACTTAACACCTGAGAAGGTGCTTTGGTCAGGAAAACATAAAAAAAAGTTCTTTCTATATCACAGAAAGGGCAAACTAAGTATCAAGAATTCTATAAAATACATTTTCTATTATATCAAGACAAACTAGGAAATATATTAAAACCCAAATACTTATTTCCAAAATTAACATAAGTGTTTGTACAAAGTAAATTTTGTTGAAAATACTTGATAAACAAGATCCTATTCCCAGCTCCAGATGTTTTTTTTCCAGTTATACTTACATAATATTTTATAGTAAATTTTATACTGCTTGTAAACATCTACTGTATATGTAGCAGTCTCTTCATCAAAGTTGAAGTACAGTTGTTAATTTTCCAAACTCAAACATACCTCTACCAGCCATGGCTAACATGGTGAGCTGAGCAACACATTGGACAAACTCCTGTAGTAAGTACGGACACTTTTTCACAATGTAAAGTTTATCTGAAACAAGGATAATGGTAATCATTGAAATTAGATTCATAAAAAAAATAATAATATGCATATATTAATCACACATCAGCAACAACACAGAAACCCATGGAAACAAAGTGATTTTAATAAATACAAACAGGTCATCAAATATTATTTTGAATTTATTGGAGCGTATGCTAGCACTCTCTATATAGGGATGACATGGATGACCGTATTAAAGCAATACAAAAGTCATCTGGATTTACTTCTTTACAGGTAACCAGAAGTCAGATATGAAGAGCTACCAGGCACAGTCACTATCTCTGGTGTATATGCCACTTTTCAGCTATCCAAAGTGTCCCAAAGTCAAAACCGCTGAACAGCCAAAACTGAGATTTCTTATTTTCGTTCATCATCATTTTTCTTCAACAGGCCTAGCACCTACCTAGTTCTAGAAGTAACTACAATTTTATCATCATCTGATAAAGGAAAACAGTCTTCACGATCTTTGACTATCTATTTTATTATTATTCTATCCAAAATTTAAAAAAAGTAAAAAAAAATCATAATTCTAGTGTAAATGATGTCATTACCCCTTGAAATTAGCTTTCTTATAGAAATGTGATGTTCCCTTAATTAAAAAGCTTAAGTACAGGGTGAGACAGGAATTACCAGTCAATAATAGAAGAACACCAGATTACTGTAACAAGTAGAATACTCAATGTTTTGTACACTATACTATCGATATCTTTAGGGAGCCAACCCCAATATAAGGCATGAAATGAATGAGTAAAAAAAATAAGAATACACATACAGGACATCAGAAGCTAGATATGAGGAGCTACCAGGCATAGTCGCTCTATCTCTGGTATATATGCTGCTTTTCAGCTATCTAGAGCATCCCAAAGTCAAAAACCGGTGATTAGCCAAAATTGAGATTTCATATTTTCAGTCATCATCATCTTTCTTCAACTGGCCTAGCACCTATCTAGTTCTAGCAGTAACTATAATTTTATCATCATTTGTAGTCTTCATGATCTTTGACTACCTATTTTATTATTATTCAACGCAAGATTTATAAAGTTTTAGAATATACTCTATAACCAAGTAACCCACGGAAGCTGGCTACTGAACTTCAAAAAAGGAACTAAACAAGATAGGGATGGAAGTAGACATATCACTTGATCAGCTAATGATCACATATTAGACTAAGATGTCTCGATTTTATATGGAGAATAAAATACCTACATTACTGGCGTCCTTACTGACAAAACAAACAGAAGTAGTATTCTAAGGTTAACTGAAGGAAAGTTATAGTGACGAATGCTGAGATTTTATTCAAACAATAAGCTTTCAATAGACAAAATGGGGAAGCCAGTAATGTAGGGATTTTATTCTCCACGTAAAGTCAAGACAACTTAGTCTGCTAAGTCATCATTAGCCAATCCAGTGATATGCTCACTTCCATCCCTATCTTGTTTGGTTCCTTTTTTTCAAGTTCAGTAGTCAGCCCTACATAGCATTTTTATTGGCAATAAATATTTTCCTTATATTTGTTATTCTATGACTAGACAGATACAACTGTGTATAAACCATTTATGAACCTTCAACATAGCCTATTTGAACTCTTGAATGCTAATGGATTTTTAATACTTAAATTTTTATTTCTGAAAGTAACAGTATACCAATTTAAAACTCCTAATATTTGGAATAATGTGGAGACATAGGTAACAATTTATTATAATGAGAGTTTTATTATTCATTGAAGTAATAATGTGAACTATTCACAAATTTTATATTTGCTAATTATGTTTCATGTATAAACTACACTATGACTTCTAATATTTACTGAAGATAGATAATCTATGTGAAATTACAGAAGTGCACTTACCTTGACGTTAATTATAAGTAATGATATAGTTTTATTAATTTTTCTGGATTATATGAAAGGTGTGACTAAAAAGAATGTGAACCCAAAATTCTGCTAATCAAGCAAACACTTCAGCCAACTTAACAACTGCATTTCAAATACACAGTTTAATCATTTTCACTTCCTTGCTTTTTTTAAAAGGTAAATTTTATCAAACTCTTGGCTATGCAAATCATATTCAGATTTCATTTATTGTTGCTGATATGTGGTTGGAAGCACCAATTTTAATGGTCTCAACTATAAAATGTTAAAATTGTTCTGTAAAATCAGAAGTTTCCCAAAGAAGTGAAAAGTGAAACTAGAAAGAACATAAATCTACAACACTGTGTGATCCTGCCCTTGGTAACAAATGAAATGACGTAGAAATGTAAGAGTTTAACTGGTTAATACAAAAATCCAGTTAACACGGCCATGAATTCAAATCTAATTTGGCCACAGATTTCACTTCTGAAAAATTCCAAATTTCACAAAGCAGTAAACCACTCTTCAAAATTGCTATAGTTAATTGTTTTCTAACAGTGGTTAAAAAAATATGAACTTACCCTTAAAAACCTGCTGGGCTTTAAAAAGACTTATCTGTTCATTGTGTTACAAAAACATATGGACAATTGAATAGAGTATAATTACTTAACAGTATACTTTTTGCTTGTTTGTTAAACTTTGCACAAAGCTACATAATGGTTACCTGCACTAACTGTCCATAATCTTAAAGTTACAGACTAAAACGCAAGGCAGCCAGTCAACACCACCCACCATCAACTCTTGAGCTACTATTATCAGACCAGTTAGTGGAATTTGACCATCAATTTATAATGTATCCAGAGTTACAAATCATGACACCTCAGCTCCACAGTTCACCACATTAACAACTGGGCCAAGCTTGGCTTTCAACAAGGCAGCTGTTAACTCCAGGACTCACAGCTGGTCAACAAATTTATAAAGTAACATAACTTTTGCTAATTCTTGAAGAATAAAATAACTGGAGTCAAAAATATAAACCAAATATAAGCACACAAAAAAATTATATTTAAAGGAAAGTAAGAAAAGGAAAATAGGGTTAAATAAGCATTGAAGATTAAGGGCAGAGCTACCAAGACTATGTAATATCAGTAATTGGCACATATACTTCTCCTTAGCCAATGTGAATTGAAGAAAAGAAAAATGGTAACAGTCAAATACATATATATATAAATAGTTCTAGTACTATTACTATTATCCGTTATGACAACAAGTTGACAACTAAAACCGACAATGGCAATTCTGCTGTAATATATAACAAACTGAACAATAATGCAAATTAACAAATATCAAAATTGAACAATTTTATGTTATAAAACTTGAAATGATAGAAAAATTTAAACAGGAGAAATTTCAATCAATTGCCAGAAAATAATAAAAGGTTGTCTGAACATGTAGTTAACACAGTATAACTACAGTTAGCTTGGAAATGAAGACTCACCAATGAAATGAAAATCTGTGATGTATTCTGATTTCTAGAACCTTCTGTCCATACTTCTTATTTACTTATTTACGTCATTTTTATATCATACAAAGTCTCTGCTTATCTATTTGTGGAATTTTCATTTTTGCATGTTTTTAAAAATTAAAATACAAAAAATTCATCACCACAAACAGAAGAGTTATCCTCAAAAAACTACACCAACCACCTGTGGTGTAAGAAGATTTAAGCAAATATATTAAAGTCATGCTCTTATCTTGATACTTGTTGTTAATACAAAACTACTTAAGTTGGTGGAACCAAATTAATTTCAATGATAATGAAGTAATGCTCTTCTAAGGCTGATGGAAAATTATGGAAAAAATTGAGTATAAAAATGTTCCCTTGGAATCAAACTTAATTATCACCGCTAGTTTTTGAATCTTATCCTAATGTCATTGGAAGAATAATGTGAATATAGCAATGCTTTTATTATATAATTAGTTATTAGCACCCATTTACTAACCTTCTTCTAATGTTGGTGGAAGATCAAGACGACTTAAATGGGAATGAAGTAGTGCTCTAGCCTTGATACTGTAGCTAAAACTAAGTGGTGGTTCTTTGTTCTTCTCACCAAGGCTTGGCAATTCTTTTATAAGCTAATAATTATAAAGACAATATATGAGTTTCTAAAGCACTCATTTCCCCTGAAGAAAATACCAACAAAAACACATACACATATACAGATATTTAAAGCCATTGTTATTACAAACAGATATATAGATCACGTCTACTTGATACCTGAAATGACAATTAATCAACTAACATTCATATTAACTTTATTATCAGTAACAGAAAACCTTAGAGTTTCAAAAACTTTAAAAAAAGCTGGATACATCTCCAGTAAGGTATCTTCAAAAATATACTTTAAACACTATCAGGATCACATATTAGATTAAGTTTTAATACTTTATCAACAAAACAGGTTCCAAACACCTCATGCACAGTTACTTGACAAGTTAAATTCTGATTTGTAATTATGATGACAAGACTTTAGTAGATTATCAAAGTTCATAATTATTTGTGTTACTCAACAAATGGACATACTGCAAGTTTTCTAAGAGTTCTTTATTTCATAAAACATCTTTGAGTGAAGAAGTCATGATTTTTTGTGAATAATATTATTTTTCTTCTACATTGGTAAAAAGATGTTTACTAAAGCTATAAAACTTAAATATCAGATTTTTTTTTTGCTGAAAGTAAAAGGTCATTCCCTTTCTCTCTCTCTCGCTTTCAAATTGTCCAAGTATTTCCAGCATGCACAAAATTTCTCAAAAACACTTCCAGACCAAGGATTATCACAACATCCCTTAATTTTTACTTCTCACAGTAGAAATACTTAACTAGATTACATGAAACTTTGAATAAACTACATACTAAATATTATAATGCTTAAAAAACAATCAAACAACTCGATTTAGTTTTTAATGTTTTATGTCATAGAAGTATCAAGTTTATTGTGAAACACTTTTTTGACAAAAGAAAAAAACATTAAAAATATTTCCTTTTTTCCTTAGAATTGAATTTTTTTTTTATTGTTGATCAGAAAGCTCTATCTGATATAGCCAGTCAATTTAAGCTGGACTGATCTTCATTACCATCTTTTGATATTTTATTTTTTCTAATTGAAGTAGTCACCACTTCTGGCCATAAACTGTAAAAACACCATAATCCTGACAGATTTATTGGTAACTTAAGACCTGACCTTTGAGAATAGCATCAAGTCAGGCTAGTTAGAAATTATTTTTTCTGACAATATTCTTAGTCAAAATCAATTTATTTCTAAAAAATTTACTTTCTTTCCAATAAATTAAAAGTTCTTTTATTTATGTAGTTGTTTGAATACAATAAGCTAAAAAATAATATTAAATAAATAAGGATTTCAGATTGAAGTCAACAGATGATTTTGCTTAAATCCCATAGAATGTGTAAGGAATGCTCTTAAAAACTGCATTCCATCCCATTAAATGGCTAAAAATGTCAAAGGATATTTGAGGATTGTACCAACACACTGATTTTAAGCATTTGTATCAAGCTGCTTTTACTGTTCATGGCAAACACACAGTATACAGAAGTTATATGTCATAAATTGTAAAGATGTCAAACAATCTCAAACAAATGTTCATCTACAAGTGTATATTAAATGACCAATAATTTGATGAATCAATACATGCTCAACTTCCATAAAAATGAGCTTTAGAGAAGTGAATGATATTATTTTTATAATAATGGATTACCTTTGTCATAGCTAAAAATACTACACATTTTAGGAATCCTTTGTTTTGTGGAATGTAAAATAAAAACAGAGAAGTGTCTTTTTTTTAAATAACTTCTAATAAGGTGAAGTATATTAACCTATAAGCTCAAGCTCTACATATTATAGTGTGAAGTATAATATTAGTATCAGTAATGTTTTAATTTCAAAAAAAGTTATTCAACTTAGCAGGTTTACCTTGGGAACTTCAATATTATCACTAGGTCTTTCCACTATTTCACTATTATGTGTCCTTGCAAATTCTAAAGAAGCAGCTAAGACCATTAAAACACCTGCAAAAAGAATAAAATAAATAACGCTCAAACATCATTATTTATTCAACCAAACCTTTTTCACTAATATTTCCTTTAAAACAAGTGACAGTTTTAATCCATTTTGTCTTCATATTTAGTAAAGGTAAGAAAAACTTTTTCAATTTTAGTTTTTAATTTTCTCAAGAGTTTTAGTTGTGTGACTTCAACAGGAGATTGTGATAGCTCTGTTGCAACTGGCTCAAATATCATTAAAAAAAAAAAGTCTTATTCTCATTTATGATGTATAAATTTAGGTGGATTCATTAACCCAATATGGAATACAAGGAAAGAACTTAAAATACATAGCGTCATACTCTTTTTAAAAGTAAATATACCATTATAAACATGCATTTCTGACAAAAGAAAAAGTCAAGTATCTGAATGTTTAAGCACAACAAAAATTAATACTTCAAACTATAATTAGTACCAAAACTGTCAAGGGTAATTACTATTTGAGTGATTGATGTAACCATTTTAGTAAGTAACATTACTACTCTAATTTATACAAAGTTTAATGAGTTATTTAATAAGCTAGTAACACTGTCACAAATCTAAGCGTACTGTTCCTAGTCTTATGTATACTATTACTACAAGTACTCTAAGAATATACAAATTTACAATTAATGTTACTATTACAATTTAAATTGAAAAGGAAAAGGTTGATGTTGAAGTACTTATATACAAAATATACGAATATATAAAAACCCTAACAGTTTAAAATTTGTTCAGTACATAACAAACAATTGTTATTATATCTTAAGGTTGTGTAGGATGATTAATAATAAATAACATTTTACATCTTTAAACTTAGTGAAACATCATTTGTACAGTACATAATAAACTGTATTTTTATTCTTCTGAAGTACAACTTACGTTTCAGAATCATTTGAGGACTTTTGTGAATAAAATAGAAATAGAGCTGAGTGGTATCTAGTAATACTTGGTCACCACCAAATTTCATGGACCGGTACCACCAAATACCCTGCAAAAAAAAAATAAAAATCAGTCTCTTCTTAAAGTATAAATTGATATTTAATGCATTCCTTGAAATTTTTGGAAATTAGCATGAATTAAACATTAAACTTTTCTTTTAGGAACCCATTCCCTTTTGTAACACATCATGTCTTTCTTTTTGCTACAAGTTTTGAACTGATATTATACAAGATACGCAACAAAATAACACAGGCTGTATGTTTAAAGGTTTCTTCCATATGATCTGTTTCTCAATGTAAAAATATTGTTAAACAATAAACTTTTCTTTAATGTGTGTTACCTAACACCAATTTAAAAAAAATTTAGGTTTAGCTTGCATTACAATTCTATTTTTTTGCCCTTGCACAAACAACTGATCTCTTTTATCTTACTAGCCTGGAGTCTGTTTAGCAATTCAAAAATTAATAATTTCTGATTTTACTATTTAGTAAAAAACTAACAATTTTTTTCATTCAATTTAAAGGTGGCTTCACAAAATAAAGGCTCAAGTATTTCATGAAAAGATAACTTTACATCAAAATCATGGATATTATTTGAAATAAATTGTTTTTAAAGATTTTTTGAAATGAAAATCAGATTATTATTTCATTAAATTAAATATTTTATACGCTTCCATATAATATCTTATGATTTTTCGGCAAAATGCTTTCACCTTTTGAAATTAATTTGATACGTTTTCAGTCATTTTATACACAATTCAAACTGTGTAATGCTATGTGTGAAACCTGATATTATCATCACTTCATGTACCATTGACTATCATTAATGTTCATGGTAGTATGTAGCTTAATTACTAGTCTTATAGTATGTGCACATTTGCTATAGATACAATGAATATTTCTCTAGTATTTTCAATACTAAAAACGATTACACTTTTTAATTCTCCAGGTATGGGCTTGATCATTTTGACAAACCTTTTAAACATACTATAACTTTCAATGTAATAGGTGTAGCTTCACAAAATTTAGCAAGCTTTTAGTAAACATTACATGTCTTTTGTGCACAAATATTCAGGTTTTCACATAAGTATTTTTAATAAAGATTTATATGTGAATTTATGGAATCATAGTCTGAACTAGTCTGAGTGAAAAGTGGTTTTCGT